GCCGAAGCGATGCTTATCGCTTTATGTATTCGTCTCCCCATTCATCCTTCCTCTCTCATCCTCGACCTGTTACCGTGTCAACATCACCTGTAATAAATGCCTCGCTGCTTCAGTTGTGACGTCGTATTCATGATGTCAAGATAACGGAACGTCTTTTTAGCATTGATTGACTTATCGCGGTGGCATTAACGCGTGTAACAGTAGTAATAGTAACATTGTATATATATATAAGTAGCTGGGAAGGGGGAATCGTCAAAAAAGCAAATGCGATATCAGATAATTGTGACACCGCGATGTTTTGCACAGTGATAAAAATTGATATAATTATAGTACTATCGGAAAATGATTTCGTGTTAAAGAGAACTGTGTTATGCATATTTCAATTCTATTCTATTATTGGTCTTTTTCACACATTTTTACATCTCGATATTACAATTATCTTTGTGATTATAATTGCATAAGCTATTTTTGCGCAACGCGACGTCACGCCCGAAGCAGGTTTAGATCTTTATCACTGTACGACAACGGTGTCGTTATAACGGGAAATTATCGCAAATCAACTCGCTGCAGAGTTAGTGTGTAATTATTATCGCGACGTCGTCTGTAGATCGTAGCGTATATTTATATATTTTAACGAGGCGAGTTTCAATGAACTCCTGCACACGCACACACACTCATACACACACACGCACGCACACACACAAACGCATACACCGTGACGCGTTAGAAACGTCTAATTTAAACATTAATCGCGAATTTATCGTGCAAGCCCGTCGACGAAAGGACAAATTGTAGCAATATGAAATCCCTAATTAAGCGTCTTAAATTATTAATTAATGACGTATGCGCGCGCATGATTATTTGTACGCTTTGTATTCTTCCGATTTATGCGCTCCAAAAAAAAAGAGTGTATCGGATGAATAAATGTTGGTCAGTGATTAATTAATAATTCGACAGGCCATGTATTAATTCGTTTTTATACGTATAGCGAAATCTTAGCGCGAGACAGATTTCGAATTTTTTTTAAAATTATTATTATTATTATTATGCGATCTAGCGATGTAAACAATTTAACGTTTTTAATCTCGGATTTTTATTAGGTTTTTAAGTAGGCAAACGATTCATTACGCAAACGGACAATCCTGGAAAGGGAATCGAGTAATGTAAAATAGTATTCTGTTCTACACGGAGAGAGCCAAATGAATATTTTCGTTTTTTTACAACTTCGATACGTTGTACCGCTGCGGAAAAAAGAAAGATTATATAAATATTATAAATATATACATATATATTATCGTGTGTAAGTTATAAATACGCGCGGGCCTACTGTATTTATAACTTATATGTTTATACATGCAAAATATAGATACGTATATAACCAGATTCGTCGTGATTTCGTTGATGTTGTCTTGGTTATTTACTTTTGTTTTCTTTCTGCAGTTAAACGATATTGCATCTGCGAAAAAATCAGAATAGCGGTGCTTTTCGATAAACCCGTTTATTTCTTTCAGTCACGAGTGTGAGGGGGTTGCATAATTGAAAGAGATACACAGTATTTATATACACAATATAGTATATACATATATATTGTCAGTTCATTTTTTTTATATATATATATTTTTTCCACTTTTCACCTTTTTTTCACGTGCTCAGATCCTAAGCTACAATTCTTATTTCCATTGTTAAATCCGTAACGCATTATGCGATGAGATGATGCATTACTTTACACAGTTCATCGTTAGTCGATAGGTCAATCTTGCAAAATCGACTCAAACGTATTAGTACGTCTGGTATTAGAGGATTTAACATAAAAATTAATATAAAAAATGCATTCACATAATATTCTTTCTCACCTTTTTTTTCTTTTTCTCTTGCGCGCGTTCTCTCTTTTTCTCAATTTCTTCCATTAAATTTTACCATCGATTAATTCACGATTTGATGCCTTATTGTCATGAGTCAGAATGCCTGCTGGTACGTATCTGTTAATATTTTTATCAAAATCGGGTTTCCAATGATTATTTACAATTTAATTAAAAGCAACCTAAAATTTATTTTAATATCTAAAATTTGTCTATTCTCATTAATAATAATAATATTCGACATTAATAATAATAGACATTCTTTGAGATATGATTTTTAATAATAATTATTATCATCATAGGGGCAATAAAACTAGCACAAAGTTTTACATATTAAGAACATAATCAACGATGTTTATTTAATAATAATAATATAGTTGAGAAAGTCTAACAGTCTTTACGTTATGTAGGCTTAAATATTTTATGTTACATAACTTTCTACCCACAGGCATCCTGAAAAGCGTCGATGAGTGTTTGTGTGATTCTCGAATAATGTCCCATAAAAATACAGACTAAATGACGAAGAACTATATAATTATCACTTGTGTGGCGAGTAACATCAACGATTCGTCTTGTTATTAACTATTATGAAGAAATGATCCAAATTCGTGAAAGAAAGTTATTGTCTTGAGATTGCGGCGAAAATAGCATATCTTACATTACAAAAAAATATAGAAAGTTCTAATCATTGTACGAACTATTTTATTAATAATTTGAATGTCAAAATTTTTTAAAGAGGACGAATCGCCAAGCTGCTCCTTTAAATATTGCGGTAACTAAAACTATGTAGGAAATTAGGATGGCCCTTTTCAATTAGGCGAGGTCTCTCTCAAAGACACCCTGTAGAAAAAGCTTGGTCCTAGAACAATTTTACTACAGATATGTGCAACGGTATTATTTCTTGCGCTTAGATTGCCTTCTGTTCTGAGAAACAAAGTTTTAAAGATGCAAAATATAGCATGTAATACTACATAGAATAAAAGAAAGAGACCTTTCACCGAAAAGAACAAAATGCCATTAAGAGTAAAAATGGTTAATTATGGTAAAGTGGAGAAAACCAAAATTTCATTCAATAAATTTTGTTTCTCAAACACTTTATAAACATGATTATTTTTTTATATATCAAAATGGAGACTCTACTTAAGTATAATTACGTCTTGAGAGACATAAACGCGCGCCCAAAGGTCAAGCAATGTACAAACTATTCCTGTCAACGGAAACATATTTTTATGCAATCGATGACAGTAAATTTTCTTTTCTTTGATTCCTTCGTGATTAATTTTGGAGTAGATAATGATTTTAAATACTACAAATATATTGATAATTGTTATAATGAACGTTTATAAGTTCATGCGATTGATAATAATTTATCGAAGATAAATAAAGAAAATATAATTAAAAAAGCAATTTTTTTTCTCTTTATTTATTGTTGGAGTTTAAAAATACGCATGAACTTATAGAATCATCTAATAATTATCATTTCATGTTACATTTCATGTAACCTCCTTATTTTCTCATTTAAATTACAAACGTCACGATTTCTTCTCAATTAAACGCATTAAACATTTGCTCAGAAACGGTTTTCCTTCTGCATGCTTTCATTTTATTAAAATTAGCGCTATTGTTTCTTTGCAAAAAACTAATATTTTGATCCTCCTTTAATCTCTATCTATTTTTTTGCCTTGTATCGAACGCGCCGACCGATTTTACTCGATTGATCCATGTACGTTTGCATTGAGTACATATACACATACGCGCGCACATACTCGCACACACACGCATTTTATCACCAGTGGCAGTAAAATGTAAAACTATTATGCGACGTTGACAATCGAGTGTCAGCGCGTAACAAATGCACTTTTAACCCCTCTGCTTTACAGAAACGCAACGGATTATTACGATTAAATTAAAATTAGGAATTAACTTAAACGGAAAAGACGAACGCGAACATGTGTGTTAAAAAAATGCGTTTGCCGAAATGAAGAGTTAAGTCTCTTCACGCACGTGTACATTTTTCTCTGTATCAGGGATGCAAGATATATTAACGATATATCAAAATATTCTGTGTCTCTTGCAATAAGACACGAAAATATGATTGATGAATGACATGATGGCTATCGCATTAAACTAATCGTTAAATAAAATAATTAAAGAATTTTTTTCGATAAAACTTTCATGAAATGACAACACTATAAATAAACAGGATAACATTTCCAAATATGTTAAAGAAATAAAAATAATAATTAATATCTATATATGATCACAGATTTTGTCATATTATTCTTTTTTCAATAATTTAATCTTCTTTCTAAAGTTCTTTCTCTCTCTTAAAAATCGAATTTATGATATACTCTTCTGCACTTTTATTTAATTTAAAAAAAACACTAATGTCTCTGTAAATATCTTTTCCATGGGCATTAATATCGAATATATCGATATCGTTTTTGGATATTTGCATCCCTAGCTTGACTATAAAAGTAAACGCGTCAATGTATATGATTCAGAAGCGATATTCCATAAATATGGAACGTTCGCCGGACGATAGATTCTCAAAGATAGAATTTAAATTACAAATTGCGCACGAGTACCAGAAGTTAACAAAGTTGAGATAATGTCATACACGTATAGCAAACATCGCCTATATCGAAGGAACGCTATGGGACTAAAACTAACAGCTTAAACAGCGCTTAATTAATTACAATGACGCTTTGATCGTTATCTCAACTTTCTGGCATGCGCTTTGATGAGAATTTCTACAATTCGGCTCTTCCGTTCGGTTCTAACATAGTTCATCGCACGGAGAGAGATATAATCGCGATGAGACTCGCGATCGCAATCGGTTTTTCTCTTCTATCTAAAACGGATATGTGTCTCGCGCGTAAACTATTTTAAAAGCATACACGCATCTTAAACGCGAATTTTTGAAGTAGAATGTACAACATTATATTCGAATCGCATATATAATTTACAGTGGGTCCTCTGCTCATTTTAATAATTGGTTTAATTTGAGAAAGATAGCTTGTGCAATGAACGTCGTATATACATATATGCGTATATACATATATTCCTTATTTAAAATTCATTTAAAAATAATTTTTAAATAGTTTTATAAAATAATTAATTTAATAATTTAAATAATTGATTTTTATCATTTTTACTAATAACATGACATTGATATCTAACGCGAAGGATCAATTATGTTGTCACATATTTCAAAAGTATCTGAATAATCAATTTTTTCATTTTTCTCCTTTATAATTATCTTATTTCGTTACTCGAATAATTGAATGTTATCTGTTGCTTATAAAAGTAATATTTATGTCACTCTATATCGTAATTATCTCTCCCATATCAACAATACAATTTAATGATGATATTAAGATTATTTAATTAACTTATCTTTATATAAAAGCTCGAAATTCCTCTCATTGCAAGCTCTCAAGCAAAAATATTTAATTTAAAAGCGTGCAATGTCGTATTATCGCGTATATCTCTTCACCGTGGAACGAGAGACAACAGCCTTATTTCAAAACTTTGTAATCGAGCAGGCGGATCCTGATGGGAATCCGCCAACGATGAGATCCAGATTTAAACGAGCTGCGCTTCTTTTCTTGCGCGTGAGATTTTGACATTTTCCTATCCTTTCGGCGCCCTGACACAATATGGCTGTCTCTTGTTGCCTAAGACGCCGTTCTTTTATCCTTAAAGAGTCAAGAGAAAAATATAATCGATCTGTTGAACCGATATCGTCACCGATTGCGGTTCAAAGATCGACGAAAATCCTCGCCGAGTTTTTGTTTCAAAGAGAGCTCGTCATCATCCTTCCGATCTCGATTCGGCTCGTCTTGACTGATTACACCTGAGCGGGTTTCGATTTGCCGACCACCAGCATTATCTTTTGCAGCCACTTCGTTATTATTACTGAAACAAGACGAGGATGATACATTACAAACATCCGACGGTGATCCAAAGTCTTCGGATGCAAATGCGATTTTAACAAAGGAATTAGTTAATCGGTAGTGCGATCTGTTGTTAGTTTGCTCGATATTTAAATTGTTAAAACTTTGAGAGAGATTTGATTTAGTATACATGTTGGTGTGTTTGTGATGTTGTGTGTGTGAGATGTGTGAAATAAAATCTCAACAATGTCCTAATCAACTCAGACGAAAGTGATGACGTTTACATAATTGACTATAAAACGGCGTTTCTCTCAAATAAAACTGATGCCGTTTTCATGTTGATTCGTGAAAATATTTTGAAAAGCAATATCTTTCTCTGATTCGAGAGAAACATAAATGTTAAGAATGATTTGATTGAGTTTATAGAAGCATTTCCGACAAAAACAAAAAAAATATTTTTAAGAATTCGATAGTATTTGAAAAATATTAACTTTGACAAAAAAATTTTATTTTATTATTTTTAAATTACTCAGAATTTATTTTTAAAAATTCAGGAAAATATTATATACATGAAATGTTATGTTTTAACCAACGAATTTTCCGATTGGATAAGAATGTTGCAATTGTGCAGCGATATCTTAAAAAATTAAGTCATATTCTAAACTGAAGAAAATGAAAAGCGGAATGAATAGATCGCAAGCAAATATATTTCTCGAAAAGTTTTTTTTTTAATATTTAAAGGAAAAGGGAAGAACGCAACGGTGGATATACAAATATTGTGCAATAAAATATAGATGCAATATAGATGCATAGAAAGAGAAAAAAATCATGATTAAGTCATGCATGATGTATTGAAAATGATTTAAAAAGACGAGAGAAAAAGCGTTTCTATTGGGTAAGATGAAAAGCACGAAGCAACGAAAATAGATGAGTGCTAAACATGCGTGACACATGATAAGAGTAAAATTATGTTACAGCGTGTTTTGAACCTTTGTCTTTTGTGGCCCCACGACTATCATTAGCTTCTGCAAAGTTTTGGTGATGATCCCTGCGGGAATAAATTAATTAAACAGAAACGTAGGAAAAAATGAAAAATTGCAAAATCGCAAACTCGATGAAATATTGCTTAAATTCTACAAAGAAAATGTTCTTCTAAAATATTTAATCAACGAGAACAAGAGCGACATAATGACCAATACGATATTTTCCCTCCTTCTATTTTTTTCTAGTTTTATTCTTTTAACATCTCTCACAGAACTACAGCAAAGAAAATTATCTAATATTTATTATAGTTCCCAAAAACTGAAAATTTCTATTGAATATCACGTTATCTGTTATTACGTCCGACATATCAATTAATTCAATGTATTCCTACAAATGATATATCGTGCAATCATATTATGTTTATTGGACTCACCAACTACTCTTTGGAAGAATTTCGGTTTGTTCTTCCACGCGACGAATACGAAATAGACAGGTACTGAGGAAAGTATCATCAAACAACCGTATCCTGAAAGATAGAAAATTTTCGGGAGATGTTTCTTATGATACAATTACGAAACGATTCGTCGATGATGAAACTTTACCTGTTTCACGGGGACTGGCATACATCGGAACTATGGTAACGAAGAGGGTAGCTAAGATATAGAAGACCGGAAAGATGAGGTTCACCTTAATTGGCCTCTGCAAATTCGGCTGACTCCATCTGAGCCATGGAAGGCAAAGCACAGATACGCCTATACTCAACTATAAATCAAATAAATAATTATTTATTTAAATTGAAAATCTCAGAGACTGAAAAAATATAAATGGTTTAAACTATTAATTAAAAAAATGTCATGATTTCGTTGATAAAAAGATCAAACTTCTTGAAATATAACTAATTAAATATTCAATATATTTCGCAATTAAATATTTAAGAATGATAATGATAATAATAATTCTTTATAAGAATCAAATGTAACGTTTTTTTTAAATTAAAAAATTTATTACTCTAAATGTATTAAATTTATTAATCTAAATATATGTCTCGAGATTAAAGATAAAAGTTTATATTCAAAATAAAAATACATGCATAAGAAAATTATTAAAAAAAAGTACATTGCGCAACAATTGATATAGTAAGAGAATTGTTACGAAATATATCCATCTGCCAATTTGTATCGATCCGGCGTTATAAAGCAGTTATTTTTTAATAGAGAAGTTTGTATACACAATAAGATGCCATTTTGACGATGAGTCAAAGCCAATTACTCCGAGTGCTATGTTAACAGCAGCTAATTGGAAAATTATTATTAGTTCGATCAAGCTAATGTTTTGCAGCAAATAGATAAACAAACTCGTGATGATGATTATGCGACCGTAATGATGCACACTGGAAGACTTTCGTGACGAAATGTCATTAAATATTTTGCAACGAATGGGAAAGATCGACCTGCTGCTTCGCATTAACATTTATGAAGCAATAAAATTCAAACGTACAAATTCTATGATCAATAAGATAGCCATATTTTCGAAATTATTTGTTGAAATTTTATATGTGCACTATTTTCTAAAAGATAGAGCAGAATGTTCAACAAAATTTATTGTACTTACCCAAGTGGCGAAGCCGACGTAATTGATGAGAGCGGAAATGTTGGAAGAGCATAAATACAGCATAGAGAGTAGTGCCTAGAAAAGATTTCGAATGAGTTTTCAATTAATGCTGTTTGAGGTCTGTGCGATGTCTGTCGCTATCTTGAATTCTGATAGAATTGGTTTAACCATATAGCAACAGGTTCGAATCAATCTACTACTAGTTACATTGTTTTTTTATTTGTCAACTCTGGAAGCAATCATGTTGGTCAATACGAGAAGGTTTTCTTGTGATTTACACAGACACGAAAATTTTTGCGACATGAAATTTACGTTGTTTTATAATCTTAAGATATAAAGAAGAATCAAAAGATCTGATGTATTAATAAAAATTAATGACATAATTTTCAACAAGGATTAACACTTTTCTCACTAAGTTCCTTGAAAAGTGATTTTTCTTATCTACCAACACAAAAATTTCCATCATATTATGTAACATTGTTGTCTACATATTATTAAAAAAAATTATATTATTAATATGTTATCAACATAATACGATCGGCGTAATTACTATCCCGGTCTTCGATCGATTTATATCTTATAATTAGCAAGTTTAGCCATCTCAAAGGACGAAGAGGAAAGATGATATTTATGGATTAGAAAAAAAGCGATCTTTACCATGCACAGTACGGCAGGAGTGGGCGTCAGCCTGGAAATTTGGATCATCGTCAATATCTCCGGCATCTGACCTTCGCAAGCACCCGCATAAAAGAGTCGTGAGGACGTGAGTAAAATACCATTGACCGCACCGAACGTAGATAGAGCCACAAAAACTGGTATTATCCATGCCATTACACCGAACAATCTGTTTGCGTATGCCTGCGAATAACAAAGGCAGTTCAGAAATTTTGAATAAAAGAATTATTTGAAAAAAATTATATCGATCCATATAAAGTATATGATAATAATGTAAATAGAGCAAATAAATAATCAATATAAAAAAAGACAGAAATATTACTTCTTTAAAAAAAGAAAGAAATTATATATGATATAATGTGATGATTAAAATATATAATAGATGAATGAATTATTATAATTAAAAAGTAAAATCTAGTTTCCCACATGATATTTTATTTCTTTCGACGAAAGTTAAGAGATTCCGTCTCAAATTTAGAAAAGTATATTTGCGATTAATTACCACTGCCACAGCTTCGCTGCCGAGCACTTCGACGGGGCTCAGCGTCGTATAGAAGGCCATGTTCGTGAAGACGTAGACAACCGTAACCAGAGCACACGAAATGCCAATTGCCTTCGGTAGATTTCTAAATAGATACACGATTATATATTGATTTCGTAATAATTATTATATCTAGGTTATTGTTTAATTATAATTTGCTTTGCGTATTAATTTCCTGCGCGATATTCTCTCACCTAACGGGATCCTTTAATTCCTCAATTATGAAGTTCAAGTAGTTCCAGCCATTGTAAGCGAACAAGCCTGAATAAAAGCTAAGGGCTATAGATGTGACTTCCGTGTTTGTGTTCTCGAACGTGAAATACTGCGTGTGTCCTAAGAAAAGGAAATGCCTGAGAGGATATCGCCGATATAAATTATTGTTTCATTAATTAGGACGTAAAACGCGATAATTATAACTTTCAATATTTCTGTATTAATATTTTCAGTATCAATATATTTTTTGTAATATTTTTTCTTTACTATTTAATTTAATTTATTTTTACTTTGCATAAAAAAATACAAACGACTATAATATTCGATTATTATCAAGAATCTATTTTTGTCTTGATAAAATGTTTTACTAACATTTTATTTCTTTATTTTATTAATCTCTTTTATTAATCAACGTTTTTTTAGAAAGAGCTTTGAACGAAATATTTACTTCAAGACGAATGCACAATTTTACGCAAGATCGATGAAATGTTTCATCAGAATCGAGATGATTATCGTATACACACTGCGGTCAAGGAACCATTTGGTTCGCTGAATAGCCTAATTTAAGTTATTCCTTGCATGCACACTGACTATACGTCGCATCGCTTGCGTATTTAACCCACCTTTTTGATTGGGTAAATTGTCTCGTCCGGCACAATGTGCAATGCTGAAAAGACGTTTAACTTCCGGTTGGACGGTCGATTCTCTTCTTCTCCATTTTCACTCATATAAACGGACAACAAAGTTTTGTTTCTCGAGCGATTTGAGATATTGATTCATTTCAAACATAAATTGAAAGTATCTTTTTCGCAAGAGATTTAAAAAATTTCTTTGCAAAATTGATCAGAGAATATTCAATTTTTTAAATTCACATTTAATTTGTTTTATTTTCAAAATATTTTCAAAATATTTTTTTAAATTTTGGCTTTATTTTGAATTTTGACTTTATCTTAAATTATCTTAAACTTTTTTCTTTACGATTGATTTTTTTGCGATATTACTGCGACAATAGAAAGATTCGTTTCCTAGTTCTCTTTTATGTCTTTCGTAATTTTATCTTTCAATACAATCCAATGCTGTGACACGGCAAGTAGAAAGGAATGACAAAAAATACGGTTGATGTATTGAATAAAATCGAACGATCGATTGAATTCAGAGAGAAAGTCTTCTGATGCAAGATCGGTTCTTTTTACTTGAATGACGGTACATGAAAACTTTGGTGTCACGTTTTGTGAAATCGTTCGTGTTATACGGAATAAAAAAAGTTATGGTACAAAAAGAGATAGGGTGCAATCACGCGGTGCCGATGAATGTTGGTCGAGATTGTTGGAAGCCGCATAGAAGCTGCACGCGATCGTTCTCTTTTACATCGGTGTCATTAACCCTTAACCACGTCTAAGCAAGCTTATCCGTTTTGTATAATTAAATTGCCGCATGTACCACTTCGGAGATACCAGATTAACAAAAATATTATTTTCTCTCTTTGTAAGAATATTTTGTAATATGAAAATAGATATAACATTCTATTCTAAATTATAGCTTTTGAAAGTGTAAAAAGTTTTATGTATTATATTATTTTTAATTTTTATTTCGTGTATTATATATGTATATATATTTTTGTTGAAGAATATTTTTTTATATCCATATTTTTTCTTATTTTTTTATATTAATATTTAGATGTATAGTTTTTTTACATATTTTTTTCTTTCTGCACTTCTCTATTTTTTCGAATTTGTATACTCGGTTAAACCTAGCGAAATTTTCTTTTGTTTGTCGATATGACAATTTAAGATATTCGACAGTAAAACTTACCAGTGCAAAGCTGATAGGCTCCCGTGAAGATTATAATAAAAAGCGCGAACAGTTTTGCATATGTGAAAATATCCTGCACTCTCGTCGCCCATTTGACGTCCCAGCAATTTATGAAAGCGAGAATACCTGCAACATCAATGTGAATAACGTTGTTAATAATCATGCAATTAGAATGTATATATAAATTTTTTTTTATAAAAATCTGGCAGATTTGCGATTGTTTTTGTAATTGATAAAAAAGATAAATTCAAATTATTTTTATAAAAATTTAAAAGATTTGTGATTTCTTGTAATTGATGAAAACAAATTAATTTAAATTATTTTTTTAACTTGGTAATATATTACATCAACTACAGTTGTAATATTTTTATCCATTACGATTCGCATGAATGATATCAAGTCATTCTAATTAATTAATGCACAGTCGCACGTGCCACTTGGTCCCACCTGTGATCCCATGTGTGTTGTTTTACTTTGAAATGTGTCTCGACATTCTACCATAATTTTATGATAATTAAAGTCCGTTATAGTCTTCTAACATGCCGACTTCAATGGAACCGGTTGCATGCGCGATTTCAGACTAACTGGCACCAATTCAATAATCTAGTCATTAGGACAAAAAGGGTAGAAACACGTCGTTTTATCGATTTCTTGGAGAAAAATGTTTCCGTAATTTACGAGGAAAATTTATGATTTGCGATAGTTGATAATTTTGATTCCATTGAGGATTTTACAAAAATGAAAATTGTCACGATAATGTTTTTTTAATAAATCTTAACAACTTTAATATATGTGTAACTTTACATCAATAGTAAAATAGAAAAAAATGTAATTTGCTTTACAGTCATGTGAAGCCATAGTATTTTAACAGGATAATTGTTGGAGGCACACCTACAATGTGCAGTGTTCTATGTACGTTTTCATTGATCGTTATTTTCTATTAGCATGATAATGACAGCAAAACATTAAGTGAAAAATAAATAACTCTCATTCCAAAAAGAAAATCGATCAGGATGATTACAACGGAATTAATAAAATTGCGTTAGAAAAAATATAATAATCCAATATAATATTTTAGAAATTTTTGATATTAATATTATATTTTTACAGAAGCTCTTTAATAAGATAAATTGGATGTTTTATTTCCTGTCATTACGTTTTCTTTCAGTATTTGTTTAGATATTGACATTAGATAAAAATTTTTTGTAATAGAAAAAAATTCTGATTGATCTTTGACGCCATGGCGTAACTAAAGAACGTCCTTGGTAGTAACGAAAAGAAAGAAAAAATCGAGATAGATAGAAGTAGAAAGAGATAGAAAGAGAAGTAGAGAGACTGATGCAACATCTTACAGAAATATCGCGAGACTTTCCGAGACTCCATGCCCTTTCCCCTTTGCGTGCCTTCCTCAGGGGTCTCTCCTTCTCCTTTTCTTTCTCTTTTCGTTCACTCGTTTTATCCTTCCTTTTCGCGTCATTTCCCCCCTACCGGCGAATTATGCTGTTGTGGCCAATTGTCACGTTATTAAATTACATTTGTTCACAATGAGGCGTGATTGCCATCGGGCTTTTGACTAGCGGGACTTCACGCGCGTCTCGCATCGACATTTTCAGTCGGTCTCTGTCGATCGTCACTTTCCACTCGTTCATGTGTCGCATGACCATCCATGTGATCACGTATCGGATAATGTATACATCTCATATGTACATAACTGAGTTCTTTTCAAATAAAGTATAAAAGCCGTTTAAGCAGTTTCTCTTAAGATTGAAACATTTTTAATACAGATTTAAATCAATATTAATTAAAAAATAACGATTATATAAAAGCTCCAGAAAGCTTCATAATCTGTGTAATCTGTGGTTTATTGATCATAATAACTAAAATAATAATTAGTTCACGAAATGCAACGCCGATCGCATTGTATCCGGTACGAAAAAATGAGGATTCGCTCGTAAGCGCCTTGGTCGTTGATCTCTATCACTTGTAGAATAGAAATGAAACGGATCGCTATTGATTCATATAATAAAAACAAAATTAAATCGAATACATCTTGCATAAATATGCATGGCAGAATTTTACAATTTGCATTTTATATTTCTGTAAATATTTTAATCGCCAGTTTAATTAATGAGCCGCGCGAAACAAATTGAATAATTGGAATTAATGAAACATTTTTCGCAATTCTATTAAAAATTTATTTTTTTCTATTAAAAATTTTTCTTTTTAAAAATTTACTTTAAAATTTTATCATCAATATTAAATGATTACGATAATGATAAGTGAATCGGAAGAAAAATTTCTTTTTATTTGAAACATTTATCTTGAAATTTAGTTTTTGATATGATACTGATTAAACGATTAAAATAATATATCAATCGAGAAATTTCTTTTAAAAAATAATAAATTATTTTGAAAAAATAGGAATCGCTATTATTAATTTATAATTTTCTTTATGACCCGATAAATCCTGGTTAATATTGCAAACGCGATACTCACTTATTCGCAAATGACATTCTCATCGATCGAATGCGTTCGCGCTTCATTTTCCTTCACAGCAAAACCTATTCCCGGTTTCTCGAACGATTTATCGGAAAGAGTAAATGGAACTCTATATACGGCGAAATCTTATTTCAAATGACAGATGAGTTTTATGAAATGTCACCGACGACTATTCGCCGCTTTGCGTCTCGCAGTATTTTTCTCGCGTCGAATTAAAAATAAATGCAATCTGTTTCTTGTTGGGTAGGAAAACTAGTTTCTTGTAGGATAGGAGAAGTATTCGTTCACAATTAATTTTGATTATTATTGATTTTTTTGCATTACGGTCTACTTTGAAACTATATTGTGCTTATATCTTAACATGAATAATATTAAATTCTTGAAACGCGTGCATAAATATCTTATGCTAATTAATGTTATCGTAAATTGATTTTCATAGTTCAACAAACGGACTATATTTTTACGCACTATGCCTACGCTGTGACAACAATATTTAATTCGAAAACTGATATGAATTATTAAATTAATTAATATTTAATTTTTATAATTTTTTTACATTCGAAATATTATTTTTGCCACACATTTTACGGGAAAAGAATGAAATCATATCTTTTGCGTAAATATTTAAGGGGACGGTACTTCATCAATAGTCTTGAGAAAAAAGGGTGAAATGTGGTTGCATTTACGTAAAACGATCCGTTGCACGCAGAAGTGATATCGAAGCAAAAAAATATACAGTTAAACCGCAAGAAGGCGATATGCCTGTTTACGGTTACATCCTTGTCTGCAGTTGGGTTTGCCAAAAATAAACTTTCTTTCATGTGCAACACGCAATGCGTATCTATCCTATATAAAGCAATCGTATCTGATAATTAATTAAAAAAGTTCATTGATCAATATTATTAGTAATTGTTATTATTATTTATTGATATTTTCATATATTAATGTGTGTATCAATATATATTAAAAAAATTTTTATCCTAATACATTAAATAATTACATATTTGCTGTATTTCTCTCTTATATTATTTTCTTCTCTCTTTTTCTGTTCTTGATAACATTTATATATATTGAGGACACTTTATATGTGTACATAACTCTATCAAAGTGCGCATTTTATCAAGCTCGGCTAAAACGCGACAAATACATTGAATGTTACATTGCGGAAAGCACGTGAAAAATTGCATGCGCCCTCGAATTTCCACGAGAATACGCCCTATCCCGTGACAAGATTGCTAGTTATTTATTTCTATCGATGACCATGAACGAATTTTTTCGTCATTAACATAGGCATTCAATCGCACAGCGATTTCTTCAACTTCATAGATCGATGGAAATTGAAAATCACGATGCAGGTATAATCGTCCATAATTTTCTTCTTGTATTGATGGAAAGGAAATGTAAAACATTATTATAGTGGCACATCGATAAAAAGCATCGATGAAATACTCGAAATACTCGAGCTATCAAAACATTAAATAAAAAAATATATCAATTTAAAGATGTTTTTCATTCTTTTAAATTCTTGACGTTGACGTGATGTTTGCTTTTCATTATTTGCTAAAAAAATCTACATCGTGTAAATATATTAGATAAAAAAATATGTGCTTCTCCTATAAAATTATTAATTCCGTTGCTTAAAAATCATGAAAATTTCTACATCCTAAATCAATAAGTATTTTTAATTTAATATAATTTTATTTCTCTATTTCTCTAGTTTTATATTCCCTTTTTCATTATTATATTTTTAAAAAGGAGATTATTTCTCACAAAGACTTTTTTTTAACCATCTTATTAGTAACTTATTAGGCTAATAATTACGAGCTATGTCTTGTTTGCCAAGAGAAAAGAATAGCTGAATCCTCTTAGAAGATTGGCACAGAGGAAACAAAACGTTAAAATATGGCATAGGAAAGCTGGCTGTTAGATTATTGTCGATCTACTCTGGGAATTCCATATATAGTCAGACAAGTGCAGTAGCAGCGCAAGCAAAGAGAATATTTCTGATAAGAAATGATTTTTCTTTCCGCATGAGAAAGAACGCTTTTCTTGCAACAAGACGCTCAATTTCTTACAAAATCTTTTGCCAGAGACAAATCGAAGGACTGCAGGGTCTATAATTATTTTTATTTTTAACATGACTTTTTTATATATTTAATAAAAGAGAGAAAGAACACTCGTTGTGATTACGTTGTGATTACGTTAAAATATTTATCGTATCATATTATCACCTCAGAAAAATATCAAGACGAAAGTCATTGGAAATGATATTCTACAAGACACGATTACTGTGAGAAAGACGAATTTTCTGCGTACGGGTCACATTGTCGGCCCGTTTGAAATCGTTAGTATATGATGGTAGGCGAGCCAATGAAGTTCAATTCTCTCGGTCTTGGTATTGTATCACGATTATTCGTTATAGAGGATCGTGATAGTCCTGTTTGATTGCAATTGCGTACAATAAATGTCTCGGCGGATATAAGCTTAATTGCTGTTACATTGTGTTTCTTTACATGCGGACCATGAAATCCTTGTATAATCGTGTGATTAACAAAGCATCTCGATTAATACTCATTAATCTCAGAGAAAGTTTATATATATACAGGGTGTCGCAGACCACCCATATCAGCCGAATATCTCAAAAACTGAGAGAGCGCGGCAGACAAAAATATTTCAGACAAAAGTTGTATGGCTTGAAGGGGAACATAAGATGGTGCCATTAGTTTGATCTTGAAGAGTCACCTGAAGGTCACGTAAATGTAACCTCCAACTTTTTAAATAGGATACCCTATATACTTTTATATATATTCTTGTAGCTTGCCTCAAGAGCTTTCCAAAACACTATAATAAAGTATTTTTTCATTGAATACTTTCCATATTATGAGGCTTGAAACAATTTTTTAATTTTACATAAACCATAAAATATCTAGTAAAATATTCATTTTTTTATTATCTTACCTTAATACTTTTAACTTTTTATACAAAATAATGAGAGGAATCAATTGGTGTAAAGAAAACACAAAGTTGCTTTAAGAAAAAATATGTAATTGCAAAATATATATTTTTTTTCGAAACAATTATGTGTTTTCTTTACACCAATTGATTCCTCTCATTATTTTGTATATAAAAGTATTAAGGTAAAATAATCGAAAAATGAATATTTTACTAGATATTTTATGGTTTATGTAAAATTAAAATGTTATTTTAAGCCTCATAACTCGAAAAGTACTTAATGAAAAAATATTTTATTATAGTGTTTTGGAAAGCTTTGAGGCAAACTACAAAAATATGCAAAAGTATATAGGGTATTCTATTTAAAAAGTTGGAGGTGATCTTTACGTGATCTTCAGGTGATTCTTCAAGATCAAACTAATGGCACCATCTTATGTCCCCCTACAAGCCATACAACTTTTGTCTGAAATATTTTTATCTGCCGCGTTCAGTTTTTGAGATATTCGGCTGATACGGGTGGTCTGCGACACCCTGTATATACATATATCATACTTGATTTATGTAATTAATAAATGCTAACAAGTAATATAATGTATAAATGTTTCTCCATTTTTAGATGTGAAAGAAGATAACTAATTTAATTTTATATTAAATAATTATGCATAATTTTTAATTTAATAAATATTTACTATTAATTATATATATATAATTAATTATATATATAATTTTATATATATAATTATATATATATAATTAATAATTAAATAAAATATATAAATATATATATATATATATATATATATATGTTAAATTAATTGTTAAATATTTGTTAAATTAAAAATTATGAAAATATATATATATATTTTTTTTTTTTTTAATAAAGTATAGATTAAAATTTTTAATTCCCTTTCTTTATATGCGAAATTAAAGAAATATAATTCTCTTATATTTTATTTTTTATATGTCTTATACTACGCAGCAATTAATAGTTTCAGAATTTTTGAATGTACTGTTTTAAGTCGTTTGTTCGATTCATCGAGCTATGAAGCTTCAATCGAGATACGATTTTTCGTCATCTACTTACATATGCAGCAAGCGGCCAGCATTCTTACAGAATCATCTGGTGGCGTGCAATCCGGGAAGAGCGGTTTGAGGACGTAGACACTGAAAGTCAAGGCCACGATGGCCTGGCTGCAAGGACGTACTATCATACACTCAACCCATAGTCTAACAAACGCCAGGAAAGGCCCAAAAGTCTCCATGATGTACGCATAATCCGCTCCTGATTTCCTTATCATACAGCCAAGCTCGGCGTAGCAGTAAGCTCCTATCTATTGAAAAATATAAGAGAGAAAAGGATAAGAAATTAATATTAGGTATACCGATAAAGAAGATAAATAAGATATTTGTGCTTCTGTGTAAAATCCCATTGCATTTATTTATTCGTGCTTTCGATATAAATTATAGTTTTTGCATTTAAAAAATACAATTGCTTTCCGTTGCAATTTTTGATTATATCATATCTAATATAGTGAAATAAATTAATTTCTTATAAATAAATTTTTTATAACTTTAATCAAGAAAATCGGTCAGAAATCTATCTTTTGATCAAATAATAAGGAAAAAAATTAAAAATACCATGGAGTAAATTCCAGATGCCCCCCATACGAGAAGACTCGCGTTCACACTTCCGGTGTATTTGAGCACGCCCGTAGGACTGACAAAAATGCCGGAACCGATGATAGAACCGACAATGACGGTGACGCCGTTGAGAAGCGACATTTTTGCTTCCAGTTTGATCTCGTCATTGTCCTTTTCGCTGCTGGGAATCGGGTCGTAAGGACCTTTCTCACCATCTTTGATGCTTCCTGACTTTGACATTCTTTCTGAAATACAAAAGATAATTACTAAAATAAAAATTCATTAATAAAATAACTTCTTTACTATTAATTTATCAAATATTTTTTTTTCTTTTGTATTAATTTATTTTAAAATTTCTGCAAAAAAAATATTAGTTTTTATAATAAAATTGATGTTTTCTGTAAACAAAACGGACGCTAATAACTTCTCATCTCATTGCCATGTTGAATTAAAGATATAATAACGAACATATAATGTTTATTAAATCTTTATTATATTGTCATTAACCACTTCACTAGTAACGGCCCATATATGGCCAAAAAAAAGTGCCACAACTGGTAATGACCCATATATGTTCACTATAAATAACTTTGCCAATTTTCAACGGATTTGTATGATCGGGTCGCTGATGACAAATTTGGGATCGAAATTTTAAAATTCACAATGGCAGATTTAATATGGTGAATTAATTTTGTTATTCTATTATTATATTTCTTATTCCATTAGAGAAGATTCAAATTCGATATGTTCAAGTTAGAATATCTTGAACTAATCCATTATCTGCGACCAAAAAACGTACTGAGTGTGATATATTTCCATAATTGAATATCAAAGTTAATCACTAGAAACCGCCATATTGGATCTGCCAGTTTATATTTTGCAATTTTGTCTATAGATTCATCATAAGAGATTCGAAAAAGGCGAATATATCGAATTTGATCTTCTCCATAATGAAATAAAATTAGTTCGCCATATTGGATTTGCCATTTTGAATTTTGAAATTTCGATCTTGATTCGTCATTAGCGACGCAAAAACCCTTTATAGAAAAACTTTCATGTAAAATACGAATTTATTTGCTGTCACCAATTTTGGCACAAAATGTTAATTTCGGATGTATCAGTGAACTGTTAATTCGAATGATATAATAAGGAACATATAATGTTTGTTAAATCTTTATTATATTATCATTAATTCGAAAATCCATTATTACAAGATATTCGTGTTAATTTTTCTATATTGGTTATTTATATTTTTTTATATATCAGTCATTTTGATAAGATAATAAAATGTATTTAATGAATTTAAGGAAATTTCCGCTCTTTTACTATAAAAAAATAAAGGAAAGTGATAATATTTATATTGAGAGACCATATATACATATATTTTTTTTGTTATTAACTCGCAACTATTATATTATTATTACATATATATTTACGAGTGAACATATATGATAAAGATAAGATTATAAAAGGACTTGTATAATAGATTTTATTACATTTTCGTGAGCGTCGTTTCATCGCCATACAATTATTTTCCTGCGGTGGCGAAACATTTATCGAGTTGATGGACTCATGTACATGTATGTGATATATATATGGACGATTTGAAAACCGCTATAGTGAAATAATCGCAATATATCGCAGTATATTTATACTTGCGTAAATATGCCGATGTATCTTATCGACTCAATTTTTTCGATATAATGCAGTAAAATGATCATGCAAGAAAACGATTTATATGCACGAAATATGTGCATCTATGTGATTGATTCGTGTGGTTTTGTTATTGAAATTCACCAAGAATAGTAAATTGATGATCATATTGAAGCAGTTACATCTAGTCACGCAATAGTCAGTATAAATTTTTATAGAATTCTTCCTTTTTCTTAAATATTTTTTGTATGCTTTATGTATTTACATACATGTATTTGCTTTATGATCTTACCATAAAGCAAATATTATTACAGCAAATATTTTTAAGAGAAAGTTATTTTTTCAAAAGAATGTATTTTTAATGTAATATATTTCATGAACTCATTCACTCTCTTATTTTAATCAATTATTTCGTGTATGCAAAGCTTCGACAATAATTATATTGTTAATTAAGTATTATTAGAAATTATACGAGTACTTTATAAAGTCCATTTAGTTTATTTAAAATAAGATTTAATTTCTTTTTTTACTGTTAAAATTTAATTCGTTACGATTGTTTAATTTTTATTTTAATATCAAATAATTTTTACATAATTGATTCTCAACAAATTTTAATGTTAATAAATAAAAATTAAGATTCTGCTTCAATAAAAAAAATTTAAAAATTTTGAAATAAAATTTAAATAAAAAGATTTGTCGATATAATTTGTATCTAAAACATCATATTTGAAAATCAACAGGTTTTACAAGATGATTTTCGTAAAATCAAGAGAATGCGATAGAGATTTACGATATTAGTGCGGCCATAAAGCACAGAAAAAATCTTTGTCTTTATTCTCTATATCTTCGCATTCCTTCTCATCAGTTCTAAATAATACGAGAAAAGCGAAACGAATGTATAAATTGTGATTTTGCGTTTAACCGGCAGTCTCTCCCGAGGAATTCTTTATTCTTGTCTTGAATAATGCATTCAACAATCGTGTAAAGTGAACGCCTTATCGTAGCTAACGGCATTGATTTATCTCGGAGAAAAAGCTCTTTCCTTGCGGGGGTGTACATCGAGGAGGATAAGTATTCTTGCGTGGGAAGAACGCTTTTACTCCTCATTTTTCAGAAAACTGGCGATTCTTCTAGCGCGCATCAGATGTTTTTCATTTGCCGGCAACAGGTTTGCTCTGCGATAGAATTCACTAGATTTTCCCACCGATTAGAGGAGAGCGATTAATCCGTTAATTAAAATGCATTTAGTCTTTCGCACGTCATTAAATGATCGTAAAAAAGTGTGCAATCTGCGAAAATAGCAATATGTATGAAATAACGCGATGAAGGAGATATATAAAGAAGAAATGGAGAGCTGTGAAAAAAATTCTTTGTATAATAAGACATCATTACGTGTCAAAATATTTATTATTATTTCGTTGTATTAATTATAGATCATTATCATCTTGTGCGCAAAAATTATAATCATGATTATAATTTTCTTGATAATGTTTCTTGTTATTACATAACAAAATTATTTTTATTACGATTCATTCATCGATCATTCTTACTTACAAATCTTGCGTAACTCTGTATCACTACAAAAATAGAAATTGACCGTATCGCACTTCCTTATGGATGCAACTTTATTATTTATTTACACATATGCCCCGTCTCATTCGATCAGTCAATCAATGTTACGACGCCGAGTTGCAGTTGTGAGACTAACGAGAAAGGTGAGTTTGGAAGATTGAATTAATTCGGATTCTACGTCACGCTATCACGGCCTTTATCGAGGACGTGATCCCGACCAATCATACGACTTGACACACCTTACAATCACCTGGTACATTTCGAGACGGTGACCGATCTGTTCTCGATGTCAGCTCATGCTTTTTAATTGCCTCTTATTAGTAATAAAATGCTGAGAAAATCAATATCATATTTATCTTTATGTTTGATTTAGTGATCATTTATCGTGTCAGTCTATGATGATATCATTTCCACACCTTAATTTCCAATGTTTATCAATCTCTTCTTGTCTCTGCTCCAACTGTGTTTATTAAATATTATATTTATCCAGATAAAACTTGATCAGTTTTAAATATAAGTTATATTCTTAAACCTGGTTTAAAGGTTTATAATTTGCAACAAAAACTTATTTATACTTTTATGTGTCATGCAATACAGAAAAGGAAGTAAAATATATATAAATATATATATAGACATATCAGGACACGTGCATACGTTAGATCATGAATATAAAGTGATATTAGAATCCTAATAAATATTGAAAAGATTTAAGAAAAACATTCAGTGTGATTTCTTGTAATATTTACTTTATGTGAGGTAAGATAAGATAGCTTAATTTCATTAATAATTAATCAATAGTTATCTTAACAATTATTTGTTTTTAATTTTCTGACTTTACATAAAGTAAATATCACAAAAAATCACGCTTAATGTTTTTCTTAAATTTTTTCGTCAATATTCACAGGATTCTAAATATAATTTTATGTTCATGGCCTAACGTATGCACATGTCCTGATACGTATTTTTATATATTTTAGTCTATTCTAGATATATTTTGTATTCCAGAAATTATATTTATTGTTAACACTTATCAATTAACAATTAAGATAGACATACTCACAGATATTTTATAGATTTCATTGGATATTGTTTCACGAAAGAAATAATAAACTATACGAACCAAAAACTATACGAACTCTAGCAGCTGCGAAAAATGCGTTGTGCAAATTTACACACGGAAATATAGTGACAGAAAATAAGCTTAAATTGCTAAAACATATAAAATAACGGGTTTGCGAAAAAGATTACGAAACTTCTTTTTCCGTAAATGCCCATTTGTACGCGAGCTAAGAATATGTATTTCAGTTTTTATTTCCAGGAATCTTTTTTTTAAAATAAAACCATGTACGCAAATACATCAATTAGCATGTTATATAAACAAATCGTAATATATTATCTCGATATACGCGATACATTCATTCTAGTTATAAATTGTGTGTTTAAGCAAATTATTAACTTTCTCAATATATATTCAATATATCAAATTTTCTCTCTTTTTACTAAAAATAAGATTATAAAAAATTAATAAGCGAAATAATGTGAGAGATAATCGAGAAAGAACTGAAGATTCATTAATAAATTTATAAGAATCACACACATATTTTTTGATTGTAATGTAAATAAGTATGTCACAAAATTATGTATACACGACTAGATAAATATTCAACTGCCCTTAAAATAAAAGTGAATCAATTAGTTTATAAAACAATCAATTAATAAAAGGAAGGGCTAATTAGAGCTTTCTTGATACAATATTATTTTCAGAATTGATAAATTTAAACTTGATAATACTTGTTAATTTTAAAGTAAATATATTTGCATCCTAATCCTATTTAAAGTAAATATATTTGCAATCCTAATATATTAATAATGAGAATTAAGCCGGCAACACAATTCATTCTCATCTCCGAGGTCAGCACGTGGCTTTAATCACATCGTATGTTTCGTCTCACCCGCGATATGTATCTAGTATCAAGTATCATATCGAGTGTCAATTACAGTGCAAATAAACTTGCATGCATGAACACATTTTGCATGTTCCATTTTTGCTCAGAAAATCTTCTTAGGATAATGGAAACGTGAAACATGAACATGAAAAGTAAATTATGAAGAAAAATATAATGCAATTATGATGCACGACAAAAAATATAAGACATTTAAAGTGATTTTTGTCTAATCTTTTTGATATGTTTCGCTAAAAATAAAATCACCTCCTATACTTATGTAATAAAATAATTTTTTCCTGCGAATAATTTTTTATCAACATCTATAGAAGAGAAGATTTTCGCTTATATAAATACCGACTGCGCAATTTTGTTTTGTATACGATAATTCTATTGCGATAGTTCTACCCATGATTCCATGCATCATAGAACCCCTTAGTCTGAATCCCCCTTAATCTTTTACGTTAACATTCGTACCGCTTCAGCTGTTCAAACGCACACGCGAGACATATCAAAGTCGCGTATATATACACAATCTGCCGACAATTCCCGCTCCGTTTCTCGTTCGTGTGTATGTGTGGGTTCACAAACAAACGGGATTCACGAACAAACGTTCGAAAAGGTTCTTTTGTCCAAGTCTTAGAGGCATCATTTTAGGACCCTTCCTTCAATACCGGTTCCTAATGTGCCTGTTGGCTTGAACCAGACAACGTTCTGCAAAAACCATCGTCTTACCTCGCACATACTTTTCAGTTATTGAATGCTATAGCTTGTTATTTTCTTTTAATAATCTAATTTATTAAAATTAAAAAAATTGTAAAATGCAATGTAGTATTATCTAGTCGTTATATCTTTTTATATATTTTTTTAATTTTATTAATTTATTTTATTAATATTAATTATTATTAATTTATCATAATTTTTAATATTCTGTGTGTTTTTTATTGTATTTTTAGTAGATTGTTTTTTTCGCGCATTTTATATTTAAAAATTTTAGATTGCATTGTAGGAAAGGAAATATAAAGTCTCCCGCGAACAAAAATATAAAAAATCATGCGGTTTCATCAGATCAAAATATTTCGATTGCAATTTTGACACGTGCTGACTAAGCTCACGATGAGGTATTATGGTGCCCATGAAAGTCGCGCAAATGTTGCATCATTGCTTTATATCGATCCTAAACTTCCGTGTCTGGTTGCGCGTGGCTCTAAAATGAACTGTAGTTAACGGCACCTGCCACAAGAGTAAAGACACCTATGTCATCGATTTGTCTCCCATAAAAGACAATGATATAACGATATCGTAACTTAAGAATGATGAATCACCTCGTTCCCTATTAATTTATCTCTGATATTATTTTCATGTAAAGAGTCTAAAAAAGTTTATATACAGAGTGTCTCAAAACTCATAATGAATCTTTCAAAGACAGATTCCTGGGATCATTTAGAGAAGATTTTTCGTCAGCGAAAATGTTGATGAAGGCCATCATTTTTTGCATGTTCCCGATTTTTGTCATCATATATCTTTGCAATTAAGCTTTAAATTAAAACTCAACTAAAGTAAACTCTATTTAAAATTAATCGAAGAATGTTTTGTTAATTATATTGTTAATTATGTTAATTAGTTTACGAAAAACCCCTTATTTCCAATCACTTATATTTCGAAAATTATTAGTGTCTCGACATTTTCGTTGAGAAAAAAACGTTTTTAAATTGGCCACAGAATTTGTCTTTAAAATATCTAGCGGTAGTTTCAGGACACCCTGTATGTGTGTCGATTCTTGCAACTCTCCTAGAAGTATATAAACTCATCTTAAAACAAAAAAATTAACCTCAATTTGGCTCTCATCAAATTATAGTCAATTTTTATTTTTACAGCTTTTGATTTTTGCATAAAATTTCTATTGAAACCAATTATAAGTGTTTTGCATTTTCGAGAGTATTATCAGGTCATCAAAAAAAACTTATTATTATTAGAAAGGGTTTCTAAATAAAATTTTAATATACTTAAAGCAATATATGTTGATGCTTTTATCGATTTTATAATTATTGGTGAAGAGAGAGATTGTTAAAAATATTTGTAGAGTGTGTTTTTAAAATTGCTGGATATTATGTAATTGTAACTAAAAAGTTAAAACAGGTTTCTCGCGTAAAACTAAAAATTGAATTATCTCGCTATTAATAAATGTTAATATCTATATATAATAAAAATCAATTTTTAATTTTTGCCATTATAATAGAAAAATATTGTATCAAATATAAATGGTTAAATCTATCTCTATATACAACTATTAAATATTATTGATATTTGTAATTATATAAATAAATGTTAAATATTCTCTTTCTCTATGAAAGAAATTCTGGACAATGTTTATATATCATAAAATCGTGATAAAGTTTTACAAAATTTAAAACAAGACGATGGTTGAATTTGTTAGAAAAAATTACGGGCATGAAATGCAAGAGAGCAAACAATTCTCTTTGTACGCGATTTGATAAGCGATATTAAACGCACGATAGACTTCCTGTTCGCTCTTGCTTCTCAAGTACCATCGAATCTCGCATACTCGAGTGCGCGATATTCGCGCGACATTTAAACGTAAGAGCCAGTTTACAGCAGCGGCCGCGAACGACGAGAAAATCAATAAGCCACGTGGGTCACCGACCGGGTTTCCGAACCCAATTTTCGCTTCTGCGATAATGCTGCAAGATAACTGCACCGAATCGTCCAAATAGAAGAGAATGCTCGTTATTTGATAAGGAATTCGTGATATCATGAATATATTGCGAAAATAATCGAATGTGAAAAAAACAAACAATAGATAAATTTTTTGTCAGTTACAAAGATTTGAATTTGCGAAATTCTGTTTAAAGAAAATCATTAAACGCTAATCATCGTTTTTATCATTGCTCTTTAACCGACTTCCAATTGACAAATTTTTTTCTTATTTTTAATAACAATGTGAATAATTTACTCTCTAAATATTTTTTAAATACTTTCTAAGAGATTTACAGTTTCGTAAATTTAAAATTTATTTCTCCGTCGTCTTCATATTTTAAATTAATAAATGTACCAAAAAATGTACCTCTGTTCTTAAAAACTTGTTTAATTTTAAAAACTTTTAAGATGAAAAGGTAATTCGAAGAATTTTTAAGTTCTTAAATTTAAGAACTTGTTAATATTTATAGAAAATATAATATTTATAAAAAAAGGAAATAATTAATAAAATTATCATCATCATTTTGCCAGAGACTTTAAAATAAAAAAAATGTAATTTTTAATTTAGTATTAATTACGTGTTATAATAAGCGCTATACATATTATCTTCCAAGTAGAAGATATAATAACGTAAATATTTGACGCTGCCACTGCGAAGTTCACTATTTATAATATACGATCGATATAACGTTGTTAACACGTGGTTTATCGAAACAAAAGTCGGCTTGCAAAAATATTAATGAAAGTTACTCACAATTTTCAAAAGTTTTCAAAAGTATTTCGTTTTATCAAATTTAAATATAAAAAAACCAAAAATTTAAATATAACAAAATTTATATATATTTTATATTTATATTTTATATTTTATTATCAAATTAACTAGATAACATCCTTTTAATTAGCATAAAATTGCTAGCTATTTAATTTCATTTTCAATACATATGATATATGTATGTATATAAGTATGTGTGTTGTGCTCTTGTTAACACACTTGATAAACAAGCTTTCAGAAGAAGACACTAAAAAAAATTGATGTATGCGACTTTTTATACTTTATATAACTGACTTAAATATATTATTGAAATAATTACAATAAATAATTTTTTTAATAAAGAATTTTTATTCGCAGTTTTTGTGTCTCGCACATACACATACACATTGTCTATGGTATCTATCACTTCGCCTGATTTGACAACAGAGTCGCCCCTTAATTCTCTCTATTTTAGCATGCATGAGCGAAACCCGCCCTTACAAAACGCGCCCTTCGAGGACGGCCATACTGCGAGCATGGAACTATCGAGTATTACGTCACATCTTTGTTTATATTCCACCAATTAAATATCGCGAATTTTGCGATCGTATCCGCGTATCTCATCCTGTAGTCCAACATTCTCTCTGATGGCGAGACATTCCGCGAGACTTTTCATTCAACATCGGGGTGCGAAGTATATGTGGTGTGATACAATTCTGCGTTTCTCGTAGTGTCACTTCTCACCTGTTTCACGGCTCCTCGTTGCAAGATCACCGAGATGTAGGTCGAAGAGAACTGGAAAGAGAGAAAAATTCGCGCCTTATGTCACTAGGCACTCGGAGGATCGATCTCAGACGCCGGCCATGGCGCGAATTCCTCTTCCGAAGTCGCTGTTTCCCTCTCTTTTTCCGCTCTTTGATTAAATTGTAGCACAACCGCCGAATATACTGCTTCTCGTTATTTTATCGTCGTTTTAACAGTGATCTCGCGCGAGAAATGAGCGCGAAACCGAACCGAGATGGAAGTGTGCACGGCACGCTGGTCGGGCTCTGAATGACCGCCGCTCTTCGTTTGCTCCGATCCGTAGCCCTGCGCTTACTCGCCGCGAATATATGTGTGCGTGCACGAGCGTGAGGGAAATCCAGACGGTGCCACCCCCGGACGACGTATCGAGCGGCCTATCGGCTGCCCCTGACGCGTCGTTCTCTTCCCCCGACTTTAGAAGTAACTAAGGAAAATAAATGAGGATAAATGTGAAAGTATAAATTGAATATTGTTAAATAAAAAAATTTTTAAGAGATATTTCATTAAGATAATCAAATTGTGAAAAAGGTTCATAATCGATCAGAAGGAAATGTAGATTATGATATTTTTTAAATAATCATATTTAACGTATTAAGCTTAATTGAAAAAAAAATAGAAAAATAATGAAATGTTTTTTATTATTTGATGATAGCAGCGAATATTTTTCTCTTTAATGTGAAACTAATGAGTTTATAATTTGCTAGTTGAAATTGAAAAAAAAACTAGAAATAATAAAACATCTCAATTTTTAGAATTTTTATTTGTTTATTTCGAGTAAAAATATTTTGATTGATAATAAGTTGATGCTTTTAATTTCTGTACATTTAATTGGATTTCTTTATAACCGGATTGTTTACAGAAGTCAATTGTTTGTACTTCATTAAAATGCAAAGTTGCAGTTGTGCATCTTTTTTTGTGTAAATAACAAGTATATTATTAGACGTGTAACATTGTAGTTGTCATGTGTACATGTTGTTGTCAAATTTGATAACATTAGCGTTGACATTATAATTCGTTGGGTCATATACATATCAACATATTTCGAAAATAAGATGATAATTAGTGAAAATAGCGATAACGTAAGTAACAAGACTTCTTTCATCATTCAGTTTAATTTTGTCTGCCGTGAGATAAATCTTTTCACGTAGAAAATAAGACTTATTTATACAATTCTTTCATCAAAGATACACGTCGAAATTTTTGCCAAAATTTTTATGGCATCTATATTTTTCATTTTAATTATTTTTTAGATAAAGTTATAATAAAGCTATAATTTATAATTTCGTGAAATTAAATGTATTTACTGTAAATATATTTTATATATTTTGATTCTTGAAAATTACTTTAATAAATATACATAAAAATTAATACTTTAATTTACATCTAGAGAAAGCATCTCTATTTTATTATAAACATAAGCTTCGAGAATAAAAAATAAGTCTTTACAAAATATGTATAATAATATCTACGTTTATTTATATTGGTCGCACGCGTTTGTTTAGTTATTTTTGTGACTAATTAAAAATCGATATCCGTCTTTGAAAATTACAATTAACGCGAATTATTTAGCGCAAAATTCAATGCGACAGTGAGTAACGAGGAGTAGTCAACGTGCATTTCTCTCTAGTTTGATGATTCCTTCATAGTTCATTAACTCTATAGTTCATTAAACTCGCGTGTTTCGTTTCTTTAAAGATAAAATATTATGACATAAATTCAAATTCTCCGAGAAAATAATAATTCACAGGCGGACGACGTCATTCATATTTTGCTATTGTCCGTTCACTGCGCGTTCGAAACTACATTAACACAATTTGCGAATAACAAGACTGGAAAGTTCTTCGAAAGAAAAATCAAAGATTGACATCGTTGAAGATGTGAACGATACGTACCTTTTCTTTTTTTTGCAAGGAATCATCTCTCCAATTTCTTCCTCTTCTTCTAAGTTCCATTAAAACTTATTCTATTCGATGATGAAATATGTATATTGTTTTATTTTCTTGTATATTCTTATATGTATTCACACGATATGAAATATCGTGTTTCGTTACATGAATTATTGCATGCATTTTAACACAATCCACATTTTCAATCGTGGTGCGATATATAGATATATGGAAAATACACGCATTACACATACTTTGAAGAAGTGATACACCATTTTATTTCGGTATATAATATATAACAGATATATATATAATATATAAATTGTATCACTTTAACTATACATATAATTATGAGATAATAAATAGAAGATATATCCATTATTTAATTTGTTTGAAGATACAATTTGCAATTAGCAATTTTGTTTTTATTTCGGCAAAGATGTACTGCTTTTATTATTTTCTCTGTCATTTTTTATTATTAAAATACAAGTCAATTTTATGTGTTTTACATAATATCTCTGTTCTTCATTTTTGCATCAATGATAAAAATCGCACATCAAAGATTAAATTATTATCATTATTAGATACTTCGTAACCGCTGCAATATATCGTAATTAATCTAACAATAAAAAATAAAAAAATCGACTCCACTTATTGTCGGAGCGATATGATCTTTTTACCTTGCTGGGGAGCGATCCTTCTTCCGGTGCTAATACATAATCACTTACCTTTCTAATATATTCCACCTTTAGTTATTGATTAAATAGTCCTCGAATCGGCGATCGGCTTGTTAACGTGATTTTATTTAAATAACTAGTCTTGAGAGAGAATGCAGAGATGTCTACAGATCAAACAATTAAGAAACTCCTATAATCAAATAGTAATCGCGAGCATAATATATTGTCCTTATCTTTCATACTACAAACAAATAACTTATTCACAAGTTGCACAATCTCGTTCCATCAGTTCCATCATTCTTCATCAATAATCTCCTTGCAAACATCAGAGAGATTTTGCAATAAGATATTTAATATACATTTTTTCGGAACATTTTTGTTCAAGATGTTGTTAATTTCGCTTTCAAGTATTATATAAATATTTTACGAAATGCATTCCGAAAGAAAGACAAGGACAAGAGAAAGAGAGAGAGAGAGACAGAGAGAGAGAGAGAGAGAGAGAGAGAGAGAGAGAGAGAGAGAGAGAGAGAGAGAGAGAGAGAGCGCTATATATTTTATTATATAATAGAAAGGTCAATCAACGTTTTGCTAACCCATGTAATATTATTTAATGCTAATTCATATATTTTTTCTGTTGCGTCTTTGATAATCAATTATTTATATAAATAGTTTTAGTATAAATTAGGTAACTAAGAAAAATAAGTTTTTTTAATGTAAAAAAGACTTTATTATTAAAAAGTTGCTTGTCATTAATTATTTATAATAAAAATAAGAGAACGGTATATTTAATTACAGATTTCAATTGTACAAAAAATTGTTTAAATTGATTAAATATAAAAATTCTTACATTTAAAATTGGCCCGAAAAATTATCAATAAGTAGACAAAATGAAGAGAAACAAAATATATTGTCAGAAAAAAAAGTTGTTTTTAAATTGTGTAACCTTTTCTTATCTCTCTGTGAGCATATTATTTCAATTTTGATCAATGTCAGTTTTATTTTTATGTTGCTCCACGATGTTTTGTGAATGTTAGTTGACAAATTATTTTTGCGGAATAAATTATAAATTATCAACATAACAACTATTGTTAAGCATGTATTGAAAAGAATATCTAACATGATCATATAAATTGATGTTGTTATAGTAATTGGATGAATTGTACTTTGCAAGAAAGTAAATCGAATGGATAGATGACGAAATATTATTTTAAAATTCGTAAGATACGAAATACAAGAGTATAAGATAAAATTAATATCAATAATAATATAATTATCCGTTTGTGCCACAGCAATAATGTAATGCTTAAGCGAGTAAAGTTGCTAAAGATTATTATATCATTTTTGCAAGCATTGGACCGGATCATTGAATATGGAAATATACACGGTGATATTAGCGATGAAAGAAAAGAAATGTGATAATAAGCATTCTCGAGGTGCTTTGGTATCGATCAGAAACGTATTATTATGTAAATTTTTATATACGTTGGTTAATTACGTATCGCATAAACAAATATTGCCTTTCAGAATGATAACGATATCTATGTTTTAACGAGCACATAATCGTATTAATAATAATTATACTAACAAGTTAGTTGATTTTTAAAATAAACATATGCGAAGTATGTGTTCTAGATAAAAGACTTAAATGTCCTTGCTATTATGATTCGAATTCTTCGGAGCGTTCTGTATGTGAAAACAGAATTTAGAGTAACCCCTTGCAGGATTAAGGACTTCTGTTACGTAAAATGTCCTTTAGTGACGTCAGGGAATCAATAGTGAAAAGCGGAGGCGAAATATACTTGCGTCATCGTGATGACATAGCATCTCTTCCTCCCTCTATCTCTTGCTCTCTTTTTTCGAGGAATGCAAATAAAAGGGAGAATTAGGCTACCATGTCGATGAAAATTATTTCTCGGAGAAATGTTCCTCTTTAAACGAAAATTTATTTACTTATACTTTTGGCTAAATTAATAATTTTAATAATAATTAGATTAAATAATAATTTTTGATACTATCTACATGATGATGATAATAATAATATTATAAATAAATAAATAAATATATATATATATATATATATATATATAACTTTCAAAAAAACATATCTTTTAAGATTATAACTTTTTAAAACTCATTTCTTTTTTATTTATTTAGAAATTATCTAAATTAGCTTCATATTGATGTTTTTTATGTTGATTAGAAGAAATGTAAATTAATAAGCTTGGATGTTAATTGTAACTAATTTGAAATAATATTGGTCAGCTCATATGATGCCTGTGATCATCGTGATGTCATACTTTACATTTAAACGGCGATGAATCTTAACAGTTACTCGTCGATTGCCGATAATGTAATAAGTAAACAAATGCAGAGCCATCCAGCGAGTTTGAACTAGGCATAAGATGATAATTCAGAAGAGACATAGTCGAACTCCTACATATGTTCTATCGATAACAAATAATTGCGCCATTCGAGGGGTAAACAACCGAGAAAAGTCGGTTGATACCGGATAAATCTACACAACGGCGTAATAAAACGGTCAAACATTATCAACATTAAATCAATTATATTAATTCTCGAACTAATTTAAGTTTTTCGATAAAATCGAGAGAAAAAGATTATATTTTAATGAAGATTAAATATAAATTATATATAAATTAAATTATTATATTAAATATAAATTAAATATAAATTAATTAAATAATGTTAATAATAATGTGAATATTAAATATAAATTAAATATAA